AGTGCCACACTCACTCTCTTACTCTCTCTCGCGAAAGTGTGTGAGTGTGCGTTCACTGAAGCAGAATAAAGTGTAATGCTGTACACACCACCATCACACTCACAACTCGAAAAGCAAAGAGCAAGCTAGACTGTAATAAGAGAAATGGGAAAAACGAACAAAAAAGAGAGACATCATCACCAAGCACACAGACAGATAGAGAGAGAGAGAGAGAGAGACAGACAGACAGACAGACAGAGAGACAGAAAGACAGAGAGACAGAGAGAGAGAGAAGCAGAAAGAGAGAGAGAGAGAGAGAGACAGAGAGAGAGACAGAGAGACAGAGAGACAGACAGAGAGAGACAGAGAGACAGAGAGACAGAGAGACAGACAGAGAGAGGGAAACAGAAAGAGAGAGAGAGAGAGAGAGAGAGAGAGAGAGAGAGAGAGAGAGAGAGAGAGAGGCGAAATCACAGAGAGAGAGAAAGAAGGAGGAGGCGCATCAGGCTCAGGCTCAGGATCTGTGTCACCACTTGCTCGCACGGGGGATCGGCTTGCTGTAGACACGGGGGTGGAGCATGTGACAGAGGAGGGGAAGAAAAAAGCAAGGGAGAGCAAAAAAGGGAGAGGAAGAGAAGAGCCAGCCATCAGGCAAAAGGATGGAGATTCAACAAGCAAATGATTCGAGATGCAACAGCAGGGAGAGAAGGACACAGAGAGACAGAGAGAAGGAGAGAGACAGAGAGAGAGACAGAGAGGAGCACGGCAACAGGAAAAAAAACAGCAACCAAAAGAGGAATGGCAGTACAACACGTCGAGCAGAAAAAGCACACGGCATGGTCAACACCAAGCGGCAACCTGATCCCCCCTGCCGAGCATGCACACGCCAACGCAACAGCACATCACTACGAATGCCAGATCGGGCTGATGGACACCCTTGTCGTTGACACGTTGACCGTCACGCCCAAAGAAGGAGACGGTCCTCTCTCACTCACTCACTCGCTCACTCACTCTTGCCTCGCGTTTGCCATCTTTTTCTCCCCAACACATTCCGTCTCAGCACACAACAGTGGTATCGATGTGTGTAGGAGCAAGTCAAGTCAAGTCAAGTCAAGGAGGCAGGTCCCAATCCGCGCACTCCAGGAAAAAAAAAAAAAAAAAAAGGCGGCAATGACCGGCCAGAACGGCGCAGCGTTCACACCGCGATTCCACCCGACACAACGACGACCAAGCCCAACACCAACAACAATCGAAACAGTCGTGTTTGTAGCAGCAGTGATCCGGAAGTGTGTGTGCATGTGTGTGCTGCGTTCACCCGGTCACAGCGCCAAGTCCGGCTGCCGTTCCACACTCACCTCTGTGAAGAAAAATAAAACCAAAACCCCCGAAAAATGTTTTAAATTCATTAAAACATCAAGACGCGAAAATTTTTAATTTTTAAATAATTCTCACTCATACACACACGCATCAGAAGATTTATCACACTTATGCTCATGTTTCAAGTTTAAAAGACATTGTCGTCATCACACTTGAAATGAAGTTGGTCATACGCCCCCAGCCACATATTGAGTGGACGGGTCTGTGTTCGTGCCGTGTGTGCATGTGTGTGTGTGTGTGTGTGTGTGTGTGTGTGTGTGCTCTCTCTGTCTCTCTATGGGCGCTCGCTCGCTGGCTCTGGGTCTTGGCAGTGGCGGCGTCGGGGTTAGGCGACTGTGCGTGGGCGACTGTGCGTGGGACATCGATTAGCAGACCCAAACTGGCGTTGTCTCAGGTCATTCATGTAGTCTTCCAAACGAACCGACGTGCCTCCTGCTTCTACTTGTGTGTGTGTGTGTGTGTCAGCATGCACCACGCACCACTGTCGAACACGCTCCCAGCTACGAGCATTCAGACGCACACGATCGCTTGAGTAAGGCATGCATGCACAGTCATACAGCAGTGGCGAATGGATCAGCTCCGCTGCCCTTTCCCACTTGAACATGAGGATTTTAAAGTTTTATTGAAACTTTACATCGGTCCTCTCCAAAATAGTACACCCAACAGAGCTTAAGTGTATCAATGATTACACTATCTAAAAAGTAGGGGCAGAACCCCAACACGAGCCCGTGGTTTCCAACCTCAGAGCAAGTCCAAGTATATTTGAATCAGTTTGAAAGGCTTTTTTCATCTGAAAACGATACAAACACGAATCAATCGTCAATCAAGTGTAAACGTTATTACACTTTATCTTAGCCTACCTGACCAACCTTGATGGCTCTGGACGATGGACCTAAAAAGTATTATACATTCACTTTCGCCCTGAATCACCGCAAACCTGAAACAGGTCGGAGGCCGAAAAGTATTTTACTAGCCATCCCACCATGTTGTCTTGAAGTATTTTACTTCTGTTCACCGGGATGCAGCAGCATGGCCCCGTGCGACTGCTGCTGCTGCTGCTGCTGCTGCTGCCCGCCTTGGGGAGGACAGGGGCAGCTAGCAGCTTGATTGCGGTGCGTGAGGGGGCGGATCCAGCCATGTTCGTGCTCTCGGTCAATGCGACGCGGAATCTAGTCATTAATAGCTCGCAGCATGTCCGGTTGGTGCCGCCGGACAGCACAGACTGGCCGCTCAGCCTGTCCGCCACCATGGCACGGTCGAGCGTTTGGCTCGGCTGCAGCCCGGCCTGTTCTGGGTCCAGCCCGAGGCGCGGACGATTGACATCAGGGGCACACCGTCGTACGTGCACGCGGCTGATGTGGATGGCGACGGCTGGCCCGACCTCTTGGTCACGCGCTACGTCGACGACGGACTGGTCTGGTACCGCAACATGGGTCACGGCCGCTTTTCGGACGAGCTACCTTTGCAAGACTCGAGCGACCGTGTAATTAACGGGCCCCGCTGCGTGCGCACCGCCGACTTCAACCAGGACGGACGCTTGGACATAGTGGCGGTCGGCTCCGGCAACGACGTTGTGGCTTGGTTTCCCAACCTCGGCAACGGCACCTTTGGGCGGGGTCATGTCATTTATGACAATGCCCAAGGGGCTTATGCCGTCTTTGCCGCCGATCTCGACCAGGACGGGTACCCCGACGTGCTCAGCACCAGCTTTTTGGATCAAACCATTGCCTGGTACCGCAACACGCAGGGTGATCGGCCGCTCAACGCCCCTGCTACGGGCTTCTCGACCGTCCGCCCCCTGCCGACCTCTGTGAAAAGCGCCCGCGCCGTTTGGGCGGCCGATCTCGACGCCGACGGTTACCCAGACGTGCTGAGCGCCACTTCGAATGGAGATGGCGTTGGATGGTTTCAAAACCTACGCAACGGCTCCTTTGCCCGCCAACGGCCCCTGGACCCCTTGGCCAGCGTGGCGGGGCCGCGCAGCATTCGGGTCGCTGACCTCGATCGCGACGGCCATCCCGACTGCTTGGCCGCCGGCGTCCTCAATCACGAGGTGGCCTGGTTCCGCAATCTCGATGGACTTGGCAACTTCTCCTCGCAGCAGACCCTGACCACGGCCCTGCAAGCCCCGCATGCCGCCCTGCCCGCTGACCTCAACAACGACGGCCTGCCCGACCTTGTCGTCGCTGGCAGCCGCAGCGACGCCGTTGCCTGGTTCCGCAACACGGGTGCCTTGGAAGCCACAAACCCCAATTCAACCTGGAGCGTTGACCCCCTTCTCCTGACCAACTCTGTTGATGAGGTGCTATCCATCACGGCTGCCGACTTTGATGGCGATGGCCGCCTCGACCTGGCCAGCGCCAGTCCCTACGACGCGACCGTCGCCTGGTACCGCAACGCCGACTGGTTGTAAATGCACATGGTGGCTGAAGGCATCAATGAGCACATGATATTCAGGTTGTTGACGCCTCCAGCCACCATCATCCCCGACTTGCCGAGGCCGTGCCGAATCGACACGAATCATCCAGCAGCACTGACGGCGATGAATAAATATCTTACGACATGAGTAAACACTATTAGTATTAACATTTCTGCATAAACTCGATTAGCTTCTACATCAACTCCACGTTGACTTTCCTTGTCTTCTTCATGTCGCGTTGTTAGGACCATAGATCAGAGATGATGTCAATTGAAGTCATTGTCCTCGGAGAAAGTGTGACCAAGACCCTTCTTTCAAGACATTGTGTGAAACTGAGATTATCCCCTAGTCTTAACTCAGTGCAGAAAGCAGAGATGAAGCCTCATCCTTGCTCACGCTCAGAGAGACGCATGCAGCTCCCGCCTGACGTCAGAGACCTGACCATCCCCCAGTTTACCTTACACACTTTCACACAGCGCTCTGTGGCTCTCTCACTCTCGTTCCACCTCTGACCCTCATCTCTAAAACCACCTTCGTTTCCGTGAAACTCTCTCTTCACCCTTGACTATCAGCTTATGCTTGAAACAACCTTTCGCACCATCTCTGAATCACACACCCCACCTCCCTCCCTCTCTCGCTCTCCTGCATGCGTTCCATTCACTCTCTCATTCTCTCACGACTCGTGCTGCTGCGTTGAATGAGAAACGGCAGCGCGACCCAATCCCCCCCACCGCTTGGCCTCATCGCGGCGACCCCTAGTAAGCCCTCTACCCCTCACACACATGCATGACGCTCCACCCACCACCCGTGTTTCCCTCCCCTCCCGGCATACGGCATCCAAGTCATCCAGCACATATATCGCTCGCTGCCTGTTTTGTCGATGCGGTCCTCCCTTTTAGCGCTTGCGGCTCGAGGCGACGGCAGCGCTCCGCTCCGTCTCTGGCCCGCTGTCCCCGCTTGTGCAGGTCGTCCTCCTTGTTGTTGTTGCTGTTGTTGGCTCTGCGTGTTTGAGACCTTGGCTGCCACAGCATTGCGTTGGAGGATCACAGTGCCGCGCGTATCGCATCGTTCAAAGTCAAAGTCAACTCATCATTCACACACACAGAAAAAAAAAAAAAAAAATCAACAGCTCACTTGGCTCACGGTGCTTGCCGCTTCCCCCCTCCCTCTCCCGCGTCGGCGCCTTTCTGTAGAGTCGCTGCAGCAGCCGTACCAAGTCAGCGCCCCCATTTCATCCGCTGGGCTTGCGCATCTGGGCCGGGCCACACAACCTCAACATGGCGGACGTGGCCGGGGCCGCAGTCGTGCGTGAGGCTGACACGGCGACACACCAGCTCGCTGCTGCCGAGCCCGAGCCACTCGACGCGGCCGCCCCCGATGATGCTTCTTCCAACGTGGACGAAGACAATAGCATTGCCAGCCATACCACCTCCGACTCGAGCGCCATCCGCAGAAACATGAGGTGTGTCCAAATCTCTGCTCTCGACCCCGCGCTGTGTGCCGTTGTTCCCCTAGCGCCATTGTCCCCTGTGGTCCTTCAGCTCCATCGCTGTCATCACAACCCAGATGCCATACCTTGTTGTCACCTTCTCGGTTTTGATGTTGATTTTTTTTTTTTTTTTCCTCATTTCATGGGGCTCCCACTCCTCCGTCGCCACTAGTCCACACATGCCCACAGGTGCCGGGTACAAGGTGCCACGGCGAGTCTATTCCTTGGACCAAAAGGCCTTGAGCCACCATGCCTCAGCCCTCGTGATCCTGAACCGCACCACATCTGGTAGTCTTGGCAGCTCCCGCATCTCCATCTCCTCAAACCGTGACCTGCGCGACATGCGTGAACCCAACAGCCCGAGCCTCCCCTCCCCCAATCATGCCAGCCATCGATACAGCGCTGGCAGCTCCCTCGCTGCTGCTGCCATGACCCTGGCTCGACTCCAAGCCGCCGACAGTGACGAGGTGTCCATTTCCCCGTCCTCCTCGTCGCAGCCATCCCGCATCCACTCTCAAAACCACTCCCAAAGTCACTCCCAAAATCACTCCCACCGCCCCAGCTTTGCCATCAGTAGCGGTGAAGAGGTTCTCTCACCCGGTCCGCTTCACAGCGCCAAGAGCGCTCCCAACTCACCCCACCACCACAACCCTCACATCAGCCATGTACACAACTTCAATCACAGCCTCAACAGCCTTGATGTCGACGCCAGCACCGCCGCTCAGGCTGCCGCCCAGGCCGCCATCAACTCCACTCAGCGACGCCCCGGGTCGGCCTCCAACCTCAACACGCCCAACAGTGCCAATGCCAGCTTTGGCCTCACCTCCCCCACCCCCAGCGACGCCGCCGCCCTGCGTCAAAGCCTCACCTCACCCCTCTTTCCAGGCAACGAAGCACACTCCCGCCGCTCCTCCTCCATCAACTCGCTCATCAACTCGGGACTCGACATCATTACTCAGCCAAACTCTCGCTCACAAACCAGCCCAAACCCCATGAGCCGCACCGCCAGCCTTGCCCGCCAGCGCTCCAACGTGCCAACCTCCACCCGCCCCAACATTCGCCGCGTGGGGCGCTCCAACACTCGCAGTAGTGACCTCACTGATGCCAACGGCGTCACAGCCACCAACCGCTCTCGCTCCCCCTCGCCCCCTTCTGACCAGCAAAACCCCAATGGCCTTGGCGACATCAACGAGACCAGTACTTCAGATGACTCCAGACGGGGCAGCTGGATCAGTGAACAGGCCATCCGCCGCATGTCCGAAGACGCCGGTTACCTCATCCCCCACCACAACCGCACCTCCATTAGTCGCGAGAGCAGTGCCGCTTCCCTCACAGCCTCCCAGAACCGCCCCTTTAGTAGCCACCTGGCTGGCGCCTTCTCGGCCACACCCTCCCTTCCCAGCACAGAAGAGGAATACCTTGCCCCCAACCCGCCGCCCGCCGTCCACCATCGAACTCTCCGAAGCAGAGCGTCGTGACCTTAGCATCTCGCCAGCGCCTTCTCCGAGCATCAGTCGACGTACCTCCCTCCTGGCCCCGGTCACCGAGCTGCAGGACGATGATGCGCTTGATCTGCTGCTGCAAGCCCAAGAGCAGCGCCATCTAGGACACTTCTCCCGCGCCATCTCCCTTTATAGTTCTGCCCTCAGCCTCGGCCTTCACACCCCCGCCTATGCCGTGGCCGCCCAGCTCAACCTTGGCCTATGCTTTGAGGCCATTGGCACTTTCGACTCGGTTAGCTTCCCCCCCCCCCCCCCCCTTTGACTCAGGCTTGCGTGGCCCCCGGTGCCTCGCCCCTCGCCCCTCGCCCCTCGCCCCTCGCCCCTCGCCCCTCGCCCCTCGCCCCTCGCCCCTCGCCCCTCGCCCCTCGCCCCTCGCCCATGCCCCCTCATCTCGTCGTCCATGGCATCATACGTAGGCGGAGGTTGAGTATCGCAACGCCCTCAACCTGGCCCGCCAAGCCAAGGACCAGGGTCTCGAGGCTGAATGTTATTCTCACCTCGGCATTGCCTTGGAAGCCCTTCACCGCCCCACTGATGCCCTCGAAGCACACCTCACTGCCTATTCCATGGCCTCGGAGGCAGGCCTTTACCGACTTCAATCCTCAAACGCCAGCAACATTGCTTGTGCCCTTGTGATCAACGGTCACAAGGAAGAGGCAAGTAGCGATCCGGTTCTTCTGGGCAAACATAAACATGTGCACGCATTTGCGCGCGCGCGCCACGTTCTCTCCTTCAGAAGAGTAAAGAAAACTGCCTGGCCTTGAATTATGCGCTGTGCAGCGCATGTGTATTGCGAAGGATTGCTGACCGAAGCAACACTTGATCCTGAATTTTACTCTCTAGGGTCTCAAATGGCATTTGACCGCCCTCGAGGAGCTTCAGCAAGCGTGTGGTGACCACCTTGACGATGCCGACATCAAGGGTATGTCGTGTGAAATTTATCCCTTGCAATCGGCGTCGCAAACCCTGTTTGTAGCACTCAGACTGGACTCATCGTCACATGGTCACCTCTCTGTCCACTGCAAAATTGTGCGCCCATCAGATCTTCAGGTGTGCCACTGCCATGTGGGTATCGTGGCAGCTGAGGCTGGCCTCTACGACATGGCAGTCTTGCATTTCTCCGAGGAGTTTGAACTTGCCATCGCACATGTGGACGCTTCGCTGGAAGCTCACCAGGTGAGTGGTTGCTCTTGGCGTGATGCACAGCGGGCCTCAGACTTCCCACACATTGCCCGCCGACTCATCAATGCTTGTTCAATATGCCAGGAGCTTGTCGAAGTTGCAGAACGCTTGGTTCATTTTCACATTGTCTGCAACGCCTATCCCAAGGCCGTCGACATCTTGGATCGCATCGTCACCGTTTTACGCCCCTCAATCCAGGAAAGTCAGCGCACACTGCAGAGTCACTCGCGCCGGCACCGCAGCAGCCATTCTTCTAGCAAGCGCTTTGGCCGCTCAGCCTCCTCCGCCTCCAATGAGAGCGATGGCGCAACACCTATCGAAGCTAGTCGTAGCCCCGAGCCGTTGGGAACCCCCCGTTCTCAATCACAGGGCGCGTTGCCTGCAATGAGCGAGGGCGCGGCAGCCGGTCCGGGCGGTCCCGCGCCTCTGCGCAAAGGCGGATCATCCAATTCTCTTTTTGACGACCGACCCACCATGCGCCTCCTCAAACGCGCCAGCAAGCCGCTCATGCGCTTGGTGGATCATGCCGACTCGGGCAACGAAGACGTTCAAGTCGCAGTGTCTGCAGCCCGAAGCCACTATGAACTCTTGGCAGACGTTCTCAGCAATCTCGGTGCCCTTCACGTGATGCTTCAGGACGTAAGTTTGAATCTCAGACCGCCCCTGCCGACCCCGTGACGCTCGCTTTGACTCATTCCCCTTGCCACAAACCTTTTTTTTGTTTTTCGACACAGTGGGACAAGGCCATGGAGGCCTACATGGAACGGCGGGCTCTGTTAACCGCCCTCTGTGACCACGGTCCCGAGTCACTGGAAGACCAAGCCGACGTTAACATGCGTCTGGGCCTCATTGCTTTGGCTAAATTCGACTACGTGGTGCGTTTGATGGCATGAACCTTGTTGCACTTCGCCACGAGGTCGTTTCAGGAAACTGTAACTGGTTCGCATGCACCCAAGCGTTTTCGTGCCTGCAAAATCTGACCATGCTTGCCATGTTGCAGCACGCCACCACCTTCTTCAAGAATGAAATGGAGATCCGCAATCTCGCGCGCGATTCCGCAGGCCACGCCGTCGCCATGACCAACTTGGGCCACGCCTTGGTGCGCAGCGGCAATGTCGTGGGTGGGGCTCGCGTTCAAGAAAAGGCTTTCCAACTCTTTAGCAACTACTTGAACGACCCCATCGGCAAAGCCCGTGCTCATCGAGAGCTTGCTGCTGCTTTTACGGCGGCCGACTCTCCTGACATGGCCATCGAACACTACGAGGCGGTGCGTGCGGGTCGCCATGTTGACATGATCTCCTGCTCAACGCTTCTTTCAGTTTTTGTGAAATGACGTATTCTCACATCCAACGCGTTTGATTGTTGGCAGATGCTAAGTATCTTGAGTTGTGAGTCTGCTCCATTGATGGAAGGTGATGCGCACTTGGAGCTAGGTGCCATCTATCTCTCCCTAGGCAACCCGGATGCCGCCACGCACCATTTTAGGTATGTTCGCGTCGACTTGCTATCTGCCCGATTGGCTCGCGAGCTATCCCACTCATTTTACATGGATTGCCCATCTGCCTTCAGCACGTGCATCGAGTTGGCTGTCGACAATCATCTCCCACGTCTCGAGAGTGAAGCATTCCGGTAGGTGGCGCAGCCAAACAATCATCCCGTACAGGACGCTTTGAATTGTTGCAAGCCATGCCTGGGACAGGCTTTTGTCTGCCTTTGGGTGTGAGTCTCTCTTCCTCTTTGACTAATCGGTGGCCTCGTGTGCCCGTGCCTGGCCTTTTGGGGTTGCACAGTCAATTTGGTATGGGCTGTGAGCTGATGAACAAGCTGGAGGCAGCCATCGAGGCTTATCGCACCTCCCTCTACGTGTGTCGCGAGAATGGCTGTGACGCCACGCAACATGTGCGTTACCTGATCAGGGTTACTTTGTTGAAATGTCTTTTTTCTCTCTCTCTCTCTCTCTCCTCCAGATCGAGCATTGCATTGAGCTTCTGACGCGCACACGCACGCAATATTTGCCTGGATGTCACGTCATAGGTTGTCTGCTACTTGTCTCTCGGGAATGCGTTACTGGACCAGTACAACTACATGACCGCGCGCACGTGTTTTGAGCAGGCTTTGAGCATCATCCGACAGGGTGTAAGCAGTTCTGTCGTTTCTGAGTTGATCTGTGACCCGGGTTGTCCAAGCCTTGTTTTAGTCTCACAAAAAAAAAAAAAACGTTCCGCCCATGTGATCTTTCTCGCGCGCCTGTCATTTTGCGTCAACAGATGGAAGCCGACATCTTATCCAAAGCCGAGGCCCTTTGTGGTGCCGCAGAGGCCAGCTTTCATTGTCTTGAGCTCGACGAAGCCATCGCCTACTATGAAGAATACCTCACGGCCTTTGAGTATCTTCCATTCGAAGGTAAGCTTGATTTTCCCCTTCCTTATTTATTTACTTTTTTTTTTTTCTGTTTTCGTCACTCGCTCTCCCATACGCTTTTTGGTCGTTGCGTGTTGATCCACCTCGCTCGCCACGGCTTTGTGAAAAATATCTCACCCTTGAAACATTTATTCAAATGCAGAAAATGTGGCTTTGTTGGTGGCTTTGACCAACGTGGCGACGGCCTGCGCGCAAAGTGGTCGCCTCACTGAAGCTGCCAACTACCTGCAACGCGCCTTTGAGATGGAACAGGCACAGAGCAGCGACCCAAGTGGAATCTTGTGCGTAGCCATCTATGTGGACAGGGCGTTCGTGTGTAATTGCCGCTTCATGTCCATGTCGCCACCGCTCTCATGTGCGTTACAAAACCAATGACCAATGTTCCAGGGATGATTGGCAGCACGGATTCCGCCTTTCTCTCTATGGAGACATACTTCTCAACCTTGGTGATACACAGGCAGCCGCCGAGCCTCTGACTCGGGCTAGGTATCATCTGCAGGTGGTACGTATCCTCGACTTTTTCCCCCCACGGCCAAATACGCAAGCTCGTTATGCGAATGGCCCTAACTTTGGGCCAATCATCACGGGTAATTGCGTTCTTTAGGCCTACAGTCGTGATCCCGAGGCACGCATGGATTACGCCATGAATCTGACCCGAATTTCCAAGGTGGGGGCTAGAGTTGACCCACGTCCGATGGTCGGTCGACAAGCCGTTTGCACTGTGGCCTGCCCTGACTCATTCTCTCTTGTGTGGTCTCATGGAACAGATGCACTCCATCCTGCACAATCATGAACGGGCAGACCAATACACTCATCTAACTGAAGAATGTATTTTTGAGGACGAGCAATTTGTTCATATCCCAGATCGCAAGCCCGAGGTCATGCCGATCTAGCCAAACCCAATCCCCGATGCATCATCTTTCTTTACGCCGTGACAGTCTATATGCCCTGATGCACCACGGACGTTGCACAACGCTCCACAACTGGTCCACACTAGCATGTGACCTTTGTGGAGTAGTCGCAATCTTCATTTTAGACGTATCTGATCATGGTACCTCTCCCGCTTTTTACGGGCAGGCTGGTTCCATAAGCGCTTTGTGTTTCATTTCTCTTCTTGACGTGAATTTTCTGTTTCATGGCTGTCATCGAGTCTGTCTGTGTCTGCGTGTGCATGTGCGTGTTCGTTTGTTTGCTCGTGTTTTCATGTTCCCACTGTGAATGCGTGTTCTGTTCACATGCCAATTGGCTTGGTCCGTTTGAATGCAATTAAAGAAAGACCGATTACCTCACCTGCAACGACCTATGGCTCTGGCTCATAAAGCGGGCACGGCATACGGGCCTAAACATTCAGGTTGATTCGTAAAGTTTGAGTCAACTGGTCCGCCAAGCGGGCAAGGCGCTGATAATCTTGAAGAAGCACCGGGACGTCCGCCTATCACGAGCATGGGGGAAATATCAAAGGCAGGACACGGAACAGCAAGCGAAACAAGAATGACGACTCGGGTGTCGCGAATAACGTACCATGCGCAAATCATCGGCGCTTGCCAGCTGCAGAAAGCGGGCAATGGGTGGTTGGTCCACACCATCAACCAACTATGCACACACACAGGCGCAGTTCCAGAAGTGCAGTGCGCAAAACCACCATGTGTCTGATGAGAAGTGTGTGGCAATGCTGCAATAAAGAAAGGGTGGCAGGTGGAAAGACCAAGGCAACGAACCTGATTGAGAGAAAAGGTGGGGGTGCTGCGACGTTCGCTGCTTCCCGAGCCACGAGCGGCAGTGGCAGCGGCGGCGGCGGCGGCAGCAGGCCTTGCGTTCTGCGCGGGTGCAGGTGTGACTGGGTGGTGCGCCATGATTGAGTCGGCGCGTGGGCGGAGTTCCTCGCTGGTAGGTCCGGCATTCGGTCGTGGCGGCGGTGGACGGGTTGGTCGTTGCTTGTTAGCAACACCGCCCCCCACGCCTGATTGCGAGGCAACGGCGGAGGACGCTGGAGTGGCGGGGCCAGAGACGGGTGGGGCGCTGCTATCTCCATGCATGGCCTCCAACATGGCATTGAGGTGCATATCAAACTCCTCTGGCAAAAACACGGGTGCGTGAGCGAGGAGAAAGGTGCTTGGAAAGCTGTGACCGTGTTCAGTCATCGCGATGTTAGAATGTAGCGAGGGCGATCCAACCTCGTTCAATGGCCAGCTGGGATGAGTCCACGGTTTGAATGAACCGTGCAGCTCCTTGCATGTTGGTCAGATAGTAGCCAGCCTCGCCAAGAAGCTGATCCGGGTTGCGGAATCTAAATGTAATCAGGCGACGAAGCAATCAGCCAATCCATTCATTTGATGTCTCGG